TGAGAGATGCCCAGGTGAGCAAGTACATACCTGAAGCAGAGAGGAGCAGAAGCCCTGCCTGCTTCAGGTACCAGAGAAACTCAAAGGGCCCGTTGGTGGGTTTCTTTGCTTTTGTTTGGTGGGTTTGTTATTTTAATGAGAGGTCTAATTCACTGAGAGTCTGCAAAGGACGGACTGTCAAAGCGCGAAAGAGCCTGGGTGGCCTCTCTCGTCTCCCAACCCGAGTCCAATGGCAGAACCCGTGTCTCTGGACGTGTGCTCTCATGGAGGCCGAAGAACCTGGCCACACTTAGTGCGAGTTCAGAATCTTCAGGTCAGCTCAGTGGAGTGCTGTGCCTAATCTTAGACCTACTTTCATTGGGATGCATCCCCTTGGCTGAAAAATGGTACCTGGAGCAAGAAATACCAACCTCAACATGCAGTCTCCCTATGGCCCCCTTGTTCCAGCCAAGTACAGCAGCCCACTCCCAAACCAGTTCCCCGGGCATTTTCTCTTAGAGTTGAGCCAGAAGCCAGAAGCCAGAAGCCAAAGAGCCCGAAGCAAGCTCAGTCCTCACACCAGGGCCAGGCCCCCATGGGGGTACATGCACAGACATGGCAGAGGGGAAGGCTATCCGGGAGTCACTCTCACTACTAAGATGGGGGTCCAAGCCAAAAAAAAGCAAAAGACAAGGTAGGTGGGGGTGGGGAGGGAAGAAAAGAAAGTAAGGGGAAAAAACAACTATGATGGTTTGCCCTCATGGGTAAGACAGGTCAGCCAAGACATACCTTTTGACTAGGCCCGCACAGCCGGTCACTCTTGGGACTGCCAACAAGGTGGGTGGTCTTCTCCATCCCCCGGGGACCTTGAGCAAGTGTGGCTTTGGATTATTTCAGGAGATGCTATTGGAAACATAAAACAAAGTGCCTGGCGGGGCACTATAAAAAAATAGGGTACGGAAGGACTTGATCATCCAACGGGAATTTATATGTTTGTAAAGAGGGACGCGGGGCAGGGACATGTACTTCAGCTGTCGTTCTTTCTTCCACGAGCACAGCTCGGATTGCTGAGTCCACGGCTCTCTGCTTACGTTCCGTTCCTGCATTTGGAAATCGCTCTTCACCAGGAGGAAAGTGAGGAAAAAAACAGCAACCACCAAACAGTGGAGAAGAGGAGCCCACCAGACGCTGCTGGGGGGGGCCCGGTGCTGGAGGGAGGCCACACAGCAGCCTGCACTTTCCAGTAACTGCTGATATTTTCTCGCAAGCAGGGAGGGAGGAAGCTGGAAAGGTCAGGGATGAGAAATGGGGAGGGGGCCTGCCATGGGGAGCCAGACACTCCGTGGGGTACACAAAGTGCAATCATCTCCCACCGAGGAACTCCTCCTGCCCGGGTCTCCTTGAATCAATCCTCCCCCAGCGGCTTCCTTCTAAATCAATGTCTCTGATTTCCCTTCATATTCTCTCTCTCTCTCTCTCTCTCTCTCTCTCTCAAAAAAAAAAAAAAAAAGTCAGTTTCTAATAATAGTTAGCATATATAAATAATAATTTATTTAACATGATTGGTTCTTTGTTTCCAAACCCAATATTCCTCCTCTCCTCGTTTTGCCAATAAATAGGAACACTGAGAAAATCAACTCTGCTCACGTCAAAAAAGATGCCCTCCCCCCAAGAGACAATTCGCCTAACTTCTCATTGCTCTGGAAAATAAATAGCACATCACGAGGCCATCTCTCGGAAGGACTAGTTTGCTCTTTTGTTCTGTTGTGTTTCAGTAGTTTGTGCTTCTGCTGTACATACTCAGAATCGAGGGCCGAGGGGGAAGGGATGAGTGGAAGGCAAGAGGAAAAAGCAAGGATGAGGGGGGAAATCTAAGGTTGTCTTTCATTTTTTTTTTTTTAAATGCATCAGAACCAGAACAATGACCAAGTCAGAGGGTGATGGCTAATTGCCCAGAGAGTCCATTCATGGGTTTAGCAACTGCCCTTTTTGTCCGCTGTGGGCGAGCCCCGGCCACTGCGGCGTCCTCGGCAGGAGTGAGGCTCTTCCAAATCGTCCTCATCAAAGCCGTGGAAAGTTGAGGTGTCACTTTCTGACGTGGAACCGAATAAGTCCTCCGTGGTGCGTGCTGCAGCCGCTGCCTCCTTCTCCTTCCTGCCTTCTCTTCCCAAATGAGCTGACATGTATGATGAATATATCAGCACATGGGTTAAGCAACAGACAGCATTATTAATATTCTTATTATATCATTACAACGTTATGCCTCATAAGCAAGATCATAAACCATTTGCACCCAAAAGAGATTTGCTGGGTGCACCACCTGGTGACAGGGATTTGGGTAAAAGGACAAAGCCAGCATTTCCAGGGAAAAGGATGCCTCCCTCCCTGAAAATGCATCATCGCTACCATAACATGTGTGTCCACAGCACTGAACATGAGTGATTCCCGTGAGATTTCTTTCTTCTCTTCTGTATGCAAGCAGACACACTTGCACGCGCGCGCGCGCACACACACACACACACACACACACACACACACACACACATTCAGCCCTACCCCAGACAATGAGTTGACTTGGTGGGTGTTTAGCCCGGCTGGTGTTTCTTTGGTGTTTTCCATGGGTGTTTCATGCACAGTGTGTGTCCTTCACTTTGACAGGCAGCTCTGCAAAGGTATTACTGTCAGATAACCCGTTCCAGGCGGTTAAGCCTCCATCTGCTTTACTTTTATTTTTACCTGTGTCTAATCCCCCTCTTCCAGTACCCTGTCCATTCTGCCCTTACACCATGTGGCTCTTTGCACTGAAAGCAAAAAGAAGCTGAAAAGTCTCTTGTTTTCTTTAACCACTGGAGGACATATCTGTGATCTGTACCCATATACCTGTGCTCACAGATACACATATGTGCACCCATGCACATGCACGTGCATATGCGCACACACACTCCAGCCACGACACACGCCCAGGTCTTTGTTACCCCAGAAAGTCCAGAGTTGTCAAATCTAACTCAGAGCGCTAAAAGAGTGAAAAAATAGGGGTTATCTCCTGGAATTTGTACAACTCAGGTTTAAACGGTTTACATTCTAAATGGGCCCCAGGATTACCCCCAAATAAGGTCATGATATGCCAGTTATGGTGCCAAGATCGGGAGTCTCATTTTCTCCCCAGGAAACAGGAAGTGGGATAGACTGGGAGGGAAAGAGAGCTCTTCCAAGCTCCACACTCTTCCTCGGAAAAACCCCAGGAGGCCTGGGGAAGTATTTGGCCCCCTGACTTAGCAAGCACATCCCATGGGTTAATGCACCTGTTTATTCCCAAGGTATCAACTATTTCAGGAAAGTCAGTCGCAGACCTGGACCAAATTAGTCACCAAAGTTAATCCTTGGCAAATGCAATGAGAACACCTAGGCTGGTATAAAATGGTCCCCTGAGTCACACAGCAGACAGATCCTGGGAAGAAAAAGCTGAGTAAAAGGCTGTGAAGAAAAAGAGTTTGGATAGGAAAAAACCAACTGCCCACATCTGGTCCCCCATGAATCAGATTCAAGTACCTCATCTTCTGTAGGGAAGGAAGGGAAGGAAGTAGTTTGTGATGAGGATTCTGGAGCTGCCCTCTCTAGCGTGTCCCCCCGCGGTCCACATCCTCCTGCCTACAGCATCACACCAAGCAACTTCACTTCGGATGGTCATCCATTTTAAAAATACTGCATTGAATTTCACTTGTTCCATTTTCTCTTTAAGTATCTAAAACCCAGAATCCGCTATTACACAAGCCCTTTTCTAAACTGGCACCAGGAGAGTAACAAGTTTGACTTCGATATCATGTTTGCAAAGTAGGTGAGCTGACAGCATTGCAGATGGGTCACCCTGTCAGGGCCTCCATCTGCTTTACTTTTATTTTTACCTGTGTCTAATCCCCCTCTTAAGTGTCCAATGTTGAGAACTGCACGCAATAGAAGCCACTCCTTTTTACATTACCGATTTGCTGCTCAAATCAGTCTTGAATCTAAACAACCCAAAAGCCAAATGAAAGAAAAAAGATTAAAGCTAAGGTTTGTGGTACACTCAGGTGTGGTCACCTCAGCCCCAAGTAGGAGTAGAAAGGACACGGGGAAGCGTGTGGAAGGAGTAGTGCCTCCTTCGTGCTGGATCCAGTGTCCAACTGAACTGCACCTCACCTACAAGAGCCTGTAGTGGAGGAGACTAAACACGGGTCTGAAATCCCTCTTTGGCCTAGTTATGACATAAAAATCTACGAAAAGTTGGTAGTACAACCAACCACAACCAGCCAAAGGTAACGGTTTGGTTAGAAGTAAAAAACCACGAACAGCTTCAGCAAAACTTGAAAACGTGAATTCATTTTAGGAATGAAAGAACAGGATCAAAGTCTTCCTTTATTTTAGTCTTTGGAAAGATTAAAAATGAAAACTTCAAAAGAGCCCAAGCCAACTTCACATTAGCCCTCAGAACACTGCCCTTTTGTCTCCTTCATCCAACAGGGTCTCTCTTTCCTGGTTCCTTATGAGAAAATGGGATGAGTGGCCAATGGATGCGATATTTGTGCCACCACCGAGGAGCGCAGGGGTCTCTGACACCCACACCTCAAAATGTGGTTGCTGCCCCCCCTTTCGTGTTTCCGTGTCTTCCGGTTCCCCCGGGGCACTTCCGCAGAACAGACGCAGCTTTGTGTTACATGTGCAGCGCCCGCTACAGGAGAGTGCTGCCCGTGTCCCCAGGTGTTCCCATGCTAACTCACAACAACACACATCAAGAAACACCCACTTCATGAAAAGGCCAAACCCAGGACCAAAATGTCTCCCTTCCCTTTTCCCTGGCTCCCAAGGCATGATTTCTTGAGATCCAATGTAGGAAACTATCCAGTGACCTGAAAACGCCTCTGTCCTTGGAATCATCGCCACCATCCACTTCCCCACTCCGCCCTCCACCCCAGGGAGGGTGGCCGGAGTGCAGGGGGGACGGCCACTGGCCTGTGGGCACAGGTGCAGGAAGGGGCCGCACTCACCAGAGCGTCCACAGTCTGCACAAGACACCAGCTCCTCAGGCCGCCCGCTCTTCTTGTTCATGTTGGAGCCTCCCAGGCAGAAGTCACAGTAGTTATTAGGAATTACTGTCCCATCCGGACCTTTCTGGGCTGTAGAAACATTTTTTTTTAATTGAATTTCAGACTGAGATGCATTTCCACTGTCCTCTCTTCTCCCACAGTCTGGCAAAATCTGCTCCCGAAAAACAAAAGATGAAGTTTAGAATCTGAGGTCCGGATTGTTAACTTGGGCTGCCTTCTTTTTGACCTTCCTCGGTTTAATAGTGCCCGTGTTGCCTTGGCTGGTATGGCTCATTTGGCTGAATGTCATCCCATGCACCGAAAGATCCTCAGTTCGAATTCCGGTCAGGGCACATGCTTAAGTTTCAGGTTTGCTCCCTGGTCAGGGGATGCATACAGGAGGCAACCGATTGATGTATGTCTCTCTCTCTTTCTCTCTCTCATCAATGTTTCTCTCTCTCCCTTCCTCTCCCTCTAAAAGCAATAAAAACATGTTGTAAAAAAAATAGTATCAATGTTTTGCAAGCTACCCAGTTTATTTTTATTGTTGCAACGTTTCCCAGCTCTGCATTTTAGAATAAGCCTGCTCCTCTGATTGCATCCCTGGATGAGCACAGCATCCAGAAGGCCTGCTAATCAAGTGAACTGCTCTCATCCCCGAACAAGCAGCTCTCAGGGCCAAGGCCCCAGATAGCAGATGGCAGTCATAAACAGTGGTGTGACTTGAGAGAGAGAGAGAGAGAGAGAGAGAGAGAGAGAGAGAGAGAGAGAATAGCCAATGCTTAGGCCTTGCCCTTCAGAGAGATGCTTTTGTTTAGGAGATAGTCCTACCATCCTGAAAAGGAAAATAAAGCAGCATTCATTTCCAGAGAGGACACTGAAGATGCGCTTGTGGACTTTGAGGAACGTCTTGGCAGGTACACAGGTGTTCGCTCTTGCTCTGCTGTCTCTCCCTAAAGTCCAGGACTAGACAATCAGCAGACCCCAAGTACCTAGAATCAGACTGGACACTTAGCTGAGCCTCAGGCCAGAGATGGATTGAAAAGCGAGTTAGTGAGTGTGCCTGGAGGCTTAAGATCCTCATAAGCCACCCATGATGAAAGTCCTACACAAACACAAAGAAAAAATCTTGGGACAGGGTCTTAAAACAAACCCTTATGAGAACAGCCCTGTCCTCGAGCACTGATAGCATTCTCAGCTTCTACTGCCCGGTGTCAAGCCTTGCACAGGTTCTTTGCCACCTCAGGAGACACTCCCCCATTTTCCTCTGCTTTTCTGGCCCTTTCTCTGGACATTTCTTTGTCACATCAACACTCCCTGTCTGTGAGTAGAAAGAAAAGTATCTCCATTTATGGGATCAGCCTAAACCACGAGGGCATCTTCCTCCTCGCTAAACCCAATGTCTGCTATCTTTCATTATTCACTGGCTAACATTAATCAGGGTCCCGTAGGGTACGAAGCTGTAAAAGGAAGCAGAAATACCATCCAGACAGTAAGTGATAAACAGATTCACCCACTTTAATGTGATTCCCTCTGGCCTTTGCTTTCTCCATGCCTCTGCTTTGCCTCCAGGAATAGAAAAACTTACCTGGCAAAGGCAGAAGACAAAAGCTTGCAGAATTGCATTAGAGAGGGTTAATCCATTTATCAGTTGCTATTTGGATTGTTTAATCAGTTTCTAAGTCATTGATTTTCATCTTCAGGGAGGCAGACACAACTCTGCAAGGGAAGCGTTGGCTGTGTGGGGCACACAGAGGAGCCCACCGCACCCTGTGACCTGCTGCGTGTCGCTTTTCCTTCATCAGCCTCTGTATGTCAAAGGCATCTGCATGTCATACAGACTGGCTTTGCAAACCGCCAAAAACCAATACATCTGCCTCTAAAATTTCCGTTGTCCAAATCCAGAAGGAAGTCCCTTTCTTCCTTCTCTCTCAGTTGCCATCTTAACCATTTCTGGAACTCTCTTAAGAAAGCCAGGCACATCCAAGAAGCAAATAAATTCAGTGTTTTCTGCTATTAAAAAAAAAAAAAAGTGGGGTACATTAAATGTAAGGGCTGAACGTAAACAAAAGTTAAATTTCAGGATTGGTGTGAACTAGATATAAAACGTGGAGATGCCAGTTACAGCTTAAATAGCTTCCCACATAGAAATCAAATAATCTCACGTGTATCATTTCACGAAAACTCTCAGGAGGCCCTATCTCACCATTTGTCTCTCTCCTGTTCTCTTAGAGACCTCTTATGATGTCAGATTTTTTTTCTGCCCTTTCACAAAATCTTTAAGCAACCAAAGAAGCTGGTTGTCTCCAACCCACTGTATCACTTGTGACTTAAGAGGAGAAAGAAGTAAAGTATAGAACATAAGAACTCCCAGATAATCTTTTACAGTTTTTACCCCCAGCAGACCATTGGTAGATCATGCAGACCATGGAATCAGGGACTCCAATACTGCAAGAAATAAAAAAAAATTCAGAAATGATCTTAGTAGAGGAAAGAAGACAATGATGGAGAAATTGATCCTATATAAAAAGACCAAAGGAACAGAATTTAATTCATCTGATGAAGAGAAATTTCTGAGAAGACCGAATCAGAACAGCATCCCCACATATTCTGGCGTTGGTTACTGGCCACAGGAAGTGCCAGGCCCAGGAGGGTGAAGAGGTGCTATAATCTTTGTAGGCCCTGAAGTATGCAGTGGTGACATGCTAGAAGTGGGGGGAGGGAGGGGCTGTATTTTATTAGAACAATGACCCAGGATAGGAAGTGATACTGAATGGTTACACTTCATTTCCAGCAAAATCCTTTCTGCTTCAGTTCCTTCTGTCTTCTCATGAGCACAAAACTTTCTTCCATCTTGGTGACACAGCATACAGTAGACTCATCGAGAGCCTTTGCATCTGGTTCTCCCACTGCTTTTTGGTATTTAGGATTGGTTTCAGGGTGAGTGTTCTCCCATGGAGCTCTCCCAATTCCCCAACCAGGCTTTGGGGAGGGCCCTCTGCTGATACTTCCACGGGTGCTTCTCTTGCTTCTGCATGTGTATACCTGCCTCGTCTCCCCTATTCAATGATCCACTCCTTCAGGTCAGGGACCATGTCAAACACCTCTCTGAACACCTATGGGCCCGTGCACAGGAAATGGTTAACAACATGTGGGATGGAGGGCTCAGAAAAGAACGGCAGCGATGTAAGCAGGCAGCACAGTGATACCACCCCCGGGACTTCCCAGCAGGGACAGAGCACTGGGTTTGCTTTCCCTGGGGCAGAGTCATCTGTTGCTCTGAATATCATTCACTGCCTGGTTTATTTCCCTCATCCTCAGAGCAGAGCTGGTCCATGTCCAGAGAGATTGGTTAGTCATCTCTAACTCCCAGAGAACACAGGGGTGGGGAGCTGAGAGCCCTGGGTTGCAGCAAGAATAACACCCGGCCCCTGCTATGGTGGGTGAAGCACCATCTTACATGCAAACATCCAAGAAAAGTTTGTCTCTTGAGAAGGGGACACTAGGATGCATTTGCCCACTCAGCCTCCCGCTTGTTCAGTTGCTTTTCGAGAAGAAAAAGCAGCAAGCATTTAGTACACAACAAAACTGTGATGGATCTTATGCTGGATGCTTTACATATGGCATTTCATGGATTCTCACACAAAAATCTGTGACACAGGGATTATTTGACAGATGACGTAGCTGAAGTCCAGAGATGACGGGCTGGCTCCGGGGTTCACCTCCAGGTTGTCTGAGTCCCTGGAGACTCTCAGCCTATAACCTGCCTTCTGGGAATTCCAGACGCAAACACTTTCTGACCCGTGGCTGCATCTAAAATACTTCAGAAATCTCTGCGTGAACTTGGTTCATCTAACCCGTTTTTTAGGAATCCCAAAGCAATGAAAGTTGAGGTTGGCCTGGTAAAAGCGGAAATTCCCTTTGAACTGAAACTTAATGTCCCTCTCACAGGGATCCATCCTGGTGACCCTGCTTACTGTCATATGCTCTGCAAAAAAAGAAGAAAAAAAAAGAAAAAAAAAAGAAAAAAAAAAAAAACCACTTCTCCAAAGAGTCCAGCGGCCCGGGAAGGGATTTTTTTAAAGTAAAGCTCACACCATGGCTTTGTTGGCCTCTGGCCTGACCCAGGGTGAGCAATTTCCTGGTACTGTATATGAGATCATTAGTAAAAGGGTTTTACTATAAATAGGAAGCTTGCCCAGACCTTGCAAGTGGGATTTAAATAGAGATTCTGCCCCTGCTTATGGGAAATTGAGTCCCGCTTTATAGAATAAGATGACAGTGAGGAAAGGCCCGAGTGGTATCTTGATGGCAGCGCCCGCAATGATGGACTTGGTTTTCTGTTGATTAATGTTCACGGGCTGAGATCATATAAGAGATACAAGGAAGCTTCTAAGAAAATAAAGTCAAGAACAAAGTTCCGGGTGTGGGGGGGGAGGGTGAGAGGGTGAGGTGGGGAGGAAAGGAACTAGAAGGTGGAGGAAGCATTCATATAAATCAAACCAAGAGAAAGAACAGCCAAGCCCCAAGTGTCCTACCACCAAACTCAGGAAGGTTACGCAGTCGTTCTAAAAAATGCACACTACGGGGTTTTCTACCTCAATCACGGCCCCATGCTTCCACAGAATTACCACCCAAGCAGCTGCCTTTCTCCAGTTCCATCTGATCTCCGCTGCGAAATGCCTGCCACGCACGAAGGAAAGGGTGGCAGGGACAGTCTGGCCATCAGCAACAGCCTCTCATCCAGCTCTTCCAAGACCTGAACTCTGTCCCAAGTGTCCTAGGGCAGTGGTCGGCAAACTCACTAGTCAACAGAGCCAAATATCAACAGTACAACGATTGAAATTCCTTTTGAGAGCCAAATTTTTTAAACTTAAACCTTATAGGTAGGTACATTGTTATTAACGTAATTAGGGTACTCCTTCAATCGCACTGTACGTGCGTTCCCGCACAAGGTATTCTGTGGGAGAGTCACACTCAACGGGCCAAAGAGCCTCATGTGGCTCACGAGCCACGGTTTGCCAACCACTGTTGGAAACAGGAAGCAAGCCAGCTTAGGCTGCTCCAGGACACATCCACAACAGCGTGAC